GGGAGTTTGGCCATTTCTGCAGCATCCAGGCCTCACCTTTATGGAACATCTGCTCGGTAAGGGCTAATTCCCGTTTCTTTTTCTTCTTCCCCAGGAGCATGGCTTTGTGGAACCAACATAGCATTCTGATTATATGACTAGAAATCATATGAATAGAGATTATATGACAGATCATAGGAATAGAGACAATAAGTGATAATGGTTAGGGCATCTTTCTGATGCCTATATAATAAAATGCTAATATGCAAATCAACCAAACAGTGGGGCTACCAGTAGCTATGATGCGCACTGACCACCAGGGGGCAGATGCTCAATGCTGGAGCTGCACCCTGGTGGTCAATGTGCTCCCACTGACCTCTCCTACCTCCATGGCAGCACTAAGGACCCCTTGGGAGATGTCTGACTGACAGCTGAGGGGAGCAGGCCTAAACCAGCAGTCAGTCATCTTCTGAGGGGTCCGGGATTGTGAGTGACGACCCCCTCCCCCAGTGCACTGGGACTCTAGTTTATAATAATTAAAAGAATGTCTCTAAAACTCTCCTTGAAATAACAAAGGTGTCATGATAAAGGTGCTTAGGACATCATTATAAACAATTTAACCTCCCTTAAATAGTACAGGTTGTTCTTAATTTATGTTTGGAAAAATAGAACTGATTTAAATAATCTGAACTATAGATTGTCACATAGTTGAGATCTACATGGTGCTTACTCTGTGCCAGACACTTTTAAAAATATTTATTTCAGAGAGAAAGGGAGAGGGAGAGAGAGAAATATCAATGATGAGAGAGAAACATTAATCATTGATTGGCTGCCTCCTGAGGCACTCCCCACACTGGGAAATGAGCCCACAAATGGAGAATCGAACTGTGACTTCCTAACTGGGAATGAAACCATGACCTTCTGGTTTATATGTCAATGCTCAACCACTGAGCCATGCTGGCTGGACTGAGCCAGGCATTTTTGTATCTCTTTTTTAAAAAAATATGTTTCTATTGATTTTTAGAGACAGAGGAAGGGAAAAGAGAGAGATTCAACCATGGATGGGCTGCCTCCTGTGTGCCCCCCATAGGGGATGGAGCCCACAAATCAGGCATGTGTCCTGACTAAGAATCAAACCAACAACCTCTCAGTGCATAGAATGATGTTCAATCCACTGAGCCATACCAGCCAGGCTGTGCCAGGCACTTTTCTAACCATTTTTATCTCAGTTAACGCAATTCATCTTCACACCAATACTGTGATCTAGGCACTGTGATTTGACCCATTTTACAGATAAGTCAATCCAGGCACAAAGAGTTTAAATAAATGCCCAAAGGGGCACAGCTAGTAAGTAGCAGAGCTGGGATTCAAATCAAGGGAGTCATTCTCCAGAGCTTGCACTCTTTTATTGTCAGCTTTTTACACTAGGTTTAATGTATTCAAGGTTCATCATGTTGTAGCAAGTATCATGACCTGTGGGCTATGGAGTCCCATCTGTGATTGTGGCCATTTCTGCAGCTTTCAGGCCTCACCTAGAATTGTTATTGTTGCTGGTATTGTTGTTTTGTAAATAATATTCCATTATATGGATATATCACATTTTTTATCCATTCAACAGATGATAAACATTTTGATTTTTTTTTACTACGATGAAAAATGCTGCTATAAATATATAAGTACAAATTAAAATATTTTTAATTGTATTCATTGGGGTGACATTGGTTAATAACATTATGTATGTTTTAAGTGTAAGTATATAATAAGAACATCTTCTTTATCCAACCATCTATCGAAGGACACTTTGGTTGTTTCCAGGTCCTGTCCATCATGAATAATGCTGCAATGAACATAGCCATGCGTATATATTTGTGAATAAATGTTTCAAAAATTTCGGATAGATATCCAGAGGCTACTCACTGAATGGGAGAAGGTATTTGCAAACAACACTTCTGATAAGGGGTTAATATCTAAAATATATAAAGAATTCGTACAATTCAACAACAACAACAGCAATCAAAATAAAAAATGGGCAGAGGACCTGAATAGACATTTCTCCCAAGAAGACATACAAATGAGGGTGTTCAGCTCTGGCCGGTTTGGCTCAGTGGATAGATCGTCGGCCCAAGGACTGAAGTGCCCCAGGTTCAATTCTGCTCAAGGGCTCCTACCTTGGTGGCAGTTTCCCCAACCTTGATTGGAGGTACATGCAGGAGGCTACCATTCGATGTATCCCGCTCACATCACTGTTTCTCTCTGTCTCTCTGCCTCTCCTTCTCCCACTCTTTTTAAAAATCAATGGAAAAATATCCTTGAGGAGAGGATTGAAAACAAACATAAAAATACATTTTTTTAAATGAGACAGTTGGAGAAAGAAAGAGATCAATTTGTTATTCCATTTACTTATGCATTTGTTGGTTGATTCTTGTATGTGCCCTGACCCGGGATTGGACCTGCTACTTTGGTGCATTGGGACCACACACCAACCAACTGAGCCACCCAGCCAGGGCCTTAGTCAAGTTCTTGTTGTCACCATCTGAAATCATAGCCTTAGGCAGTGATTTTGACAATCCCCTAGGGGCAGGCTGTTTTGTCTCTCACTGAGATGAGCTTTCAGTGGAATAAAATATACACCAAATTTGGAGAAGACAGGGTTCCTGGAGAACTAAAGGGTCAGAAAAAAATACTGACTGTGCTCTGGGGATAACGATGATGCTCTCAAAGGAGCTCCAAAAAATGTCAGATCTCCCTGTTGTCTGCAATGCCATCAGCTTTTGGCGGCCTCACCACTAAGCTGAGGAGAGAAGGAGTGGAAAGAGTTCAGAGCTGAAACACCACAGAGTCCTTCCTCACCAATCTTACCAAGCTTCGGTAGTTTCTCTCAGAGGGACTATTTCAGTTTGTTCTGTGGCTTTAGGTAATTGTTAGAGTTTTGAAATGGTTGGTCTTAGTTGTTTTGCTTAAGCATTTGTTGTTTTTAGAAGGAGAGCAAGTCTGCACATTTACATTCAGGAAGTCACACAGAAGCTGCACTCTTACCCACAACATGCTGCTCAAACGAACGTGCGCTTGCATCAGCTCAACTCTAGAGAGATTCCTTCCTGGACACATCAGTTCTTTCCTGCTTACATTTTCCTCAGTGTATATTTCAATGTCCTACTACACTCTCCATTGACCTGAAATGTCCTCTGTACAGGCGTAGGCAAAAGAAGGTTTACAATTGTTGGTATGGAAAATAATACAATAATTAATAAATAATTGAACCAAGAATAAACTGTTTCACATACACACAACTGTAAGCCTACTTTTGCCCACCCCTGTTCCTTACCCTCATGTGGATCAAGAGTGAATTCTGTCACTGTTTATCAGTAAAACCTTAAGCAATAGACTTAAGCCCTTTACACTTCAGTTACAAACCTGTAAACATAAGAGAACTTCTGTTTTGCACTGTTGTTAAAATTACATAGAACCACTCAACAACAAAAGACAACCCAATTTAAAAATGGACAAAAGAAAAAGAGGACCTATATAATACTTTCAACCACAAAGATTAAAATAGCCTAGCCGGTGTGGCTCAGTGGTTGAGTGTTGACCTGATAACAACGAGGCCCTGGGTTTGATTCTCATGTCAGGGCACATGCCAGGGTTGCAGGCTCAATCTTCAGTGTGTGGCCTGCAGGAGGCAGCTGATGGATAATTCTGTCTCATCATGGATGTTTCTATCTCTCTCCCTCTCCTTTCCTCTCTAAAATCAATTTAAATTTTTTTAAAGATTTAAATAAATAAAATACATAAACTATAAATAAATGAAAATGGACAGGAGATCTGAATAGACATTTCTCCCAAGATAATATAAATGACGAGTCAGTGTATGAAACGTTGCTCAACATTATCAGTCATCAGGAAAATGAAAATCAATAACATCAAAATGAGATGTCACTTCACAGCAATTATATTAAAGGGTTAAAATAAAAAGACAGCCCTAGTTGATTTGGCTCAGTAAATAGAGCATGGGCTTGCAGACCAAAGGGTCCTGGGTCGATTCAGGTCAAGGGCACCTACCTTGGTGGAAGGTTCCTCCCAGGCACTGGTCTGGAGCACATTCAGAAGGCAACCATTCGATGTGTTTCTCACACATCGATGTTTCTCTCTGTCTTTCCCTCTCTCTTCCACTATCCCTAAAAAAATCAATGGAAAAATATCCTCGGGTGAGTAATAACAACAAAAATAATATAAGAATTTTAAGAAAAGATTATTTAGCCATTAAAACATGCTGCAACGTGGATGAACCTTGATTGAAAGCATGCTAGGTGATAGAATCCAGTCATAAAATACGAGGTATTTTACAATTTCATTTATGTCCAAAAGAGGCAACTACATAGAGACAGAAAGTAGATTAATGATGCCCTGGGGCTACCGTGGGCGGTAGGGTGCATGGAAGCAGG